ACAACCTACTTCGAGTTACTTTTGGTTTGTTATAATTGTGCCTGCTAAATTAAAGGAAAATAATTCTAGCCATTTTTTTTCTTTTTTTAAAAAAATTGACTTTATATGAGATAAAAATCAGGCCTGCACAGCTTATATGTTTGAGAACGGGTGCATTGTCCTTTCCAAGTAAAATGTAAAAGATTTAAAATTTAGAGGCAATATTGGTTTAAATATATTTGAAGTTTCAAGTTAATCTTTTTTAACCATAGAAATGCAAGGTAATCGGGGTTTATTTGGTTGTTTTGTCCTTTTACATCTTGTGTTACTGGTTGCCTCTTTTGAAGGCAATGAAAATTTTGAGTATGTAGTTTTCCTAAAATCAGCAGGGAAGTATGGTTTGCTGGGAAGAGTTCTAAAAGTCCAAATCTCAACGCAAATACTTAATAGCTATATGATTTTAATTTTCTAAGCTTTCATTTCTCCTTTTTGTAAAATTGTAATGATAATATCTTACCAATTTCCAGGGCATCTTTCAGAAAAGCTCCTTGTAAACACTAAAGCATAAATAAATGTGTTGTTGTTATTATTGTCATTTTTGCAATTCAATATATTACAAGCCCATTTGCCATAAATCAGTTTTCTTGCTAGTTTGTTGACATGTTTTTTTAAGACCTTTCCTAAGTTACTGTGAATCAGAGATAGAAAATCATCCCTTAAATCATCAAATCCACTTGAATCATAAAATGAGGAGGGGGTTCATGAAGTCATGTAGATCATCCTATAGTTAGAATGCATGCAAGTCTTATTAGATTGGAATAGATGAAATAGTTATTAAGTAAGTACAGTATGTGATTGGTTCAATGACAATTTGATTATTTTTCTGATAGAATAATTAGTGGTTATACTAGTACTTCATGAATTTTGCCTTTGTGGGCAATTAAAATTTAATCCAACTACTTCATAAAATTAGCTAGTTTTGAATGACAAATACTTTTAAAATTGAAAATGTTAAGAATGCCCTTTTGTAGCATATCAGAAACTGATAATTTCAAATTTTCATTTAGAATTTTTTTATAAAACTGCACAAAAAATAGATATCAAGCTTAAAGTATACTCTGTTTTGTGACTTGGTACAGATTATTTTCATGTGGTTTATTATCAAAATCATGATTTACAATTTTGAAAGATCACTGAATCTCAGAATTAGAAAGGACTTCCAGATCTGTCATAGCCATTTAGGTGAACTCATACCCGAACAAATATCCCTTTCTATAATTTACCTGACAAGTGTTGTCCATTGCTTTAAAACCTCAATTGAAGAGGAATCTCCTATCTTCCAAGACAGATTTCCATTTTTCATAATGTGATATGAACTCATCTCTTGCCATTCTGTTTACCCTCTTGGATTCTCTCCTATTTATCACTGACCTTCCTAAGATGTGGCGTTGAAAACTGAACATAGTACTTCAAATGTGCTCAGACTAATGTAGAATATACCAGAACTATAAACCTTCCTGGTCCTTTAAAACATTATATGTTTCTTAATACAGCCAAAATTCAGATTACTTTTCTTTGCTGCTTTTTTCCACTTTTAATTCATATTGAGTTTACAATCCACTAAAATCCTTAGAACTTTTTCAAAAATGAATTACTTTTAAACCATGCTTGACCCATCAACTTCTGAAGTTAATCTTTTTAGTTAGTCCAACTATAAGACTTAAATTTTATTTCTATTAAATTTATTCTTCCATTTGGCCCAGTGTTCTTACCTGTCAAGATTTTTTAAAATCTTGACTTTGTCATCTAATGTGTTCAATAGTTTGTGTCGTGAACAAGTTAAAGCAATATATATAATATATATTTCTTTTTTTATAAATTTTCTTTTTTATTTTGAACTCTGTAATTATCAACAAACATGAACAGTTCACTATACAAAGAACAGCAAAACAGCATTGTATAGGAAACTGTGAAACCTCTATTGTATACTTTTTTTAACCAATGTATTTAACACTATAGTAACCAAACTGCCCTGCTCTGCTTTACTCTATTCCCCTTCAGAATTTCCTTCTGCTTTTTTCTTGTATTTTAAAATGTTTTATCCACACTTCTACATTTTCTTTTTCTTTCTTTTTTTTTTTAAGCATTATTGCTACCTACCAACTCCTTCAGACTCCTTTCCCCTTAGAAGCACTCCTTTATGACAAGTAATGTATAGCCAAGCAAAACAAGTTCCCACACAGTGCATCTGTATTCCATTGCCTTGGCCAAGAGATAGATGGGAAACATGCTTCATTAGTCTTCTACAGGCATGGCTGGTCTTTGTGTACTCTAGAGTTTTTATGTGTTTTCAAATTGTTTTCCTTTACATTTCTGTAGTCATTCCATGATTTTTTTTTTATTTGTTTCTGCTCACTCAGGATCATATCATAAAAGTTTTCCTGGGTTTCTCTCTAGTCAACACATTTATCATTTTTCTTTTCTTTCTTTTTTTTTTTTTGCTCAACAATATTTCATTACATTCATGTACCATAATTTGTTCGCTTATTCCCTAACTGATGAGCACTCACTCCTTTTACAGCAGAATGCCATAACAAAAATTGTTACTATAAATATTTTTTGCACGTGGGACCTTTCTCTTTGACCTCTTGGGGATATATGCCTAATAATACTAGCAGGGGAGCACAAAGGATGCACAATTTAGTGACTTTGGGAGTATAATTCCAAAATGCTTTCCATAATGGTTGATTCGCATCTCTACTAATAGTACATCAATATTCCTGCCCTCTTATAGCCTCTCCAACAGTTGCCATTTTCCTTTTTTGTCATCACCTTGCGAGTCTGAAAAGTGTGCGGTTCAACTTCAGAGTATTTTTAATTTAGTTTTATAATTAATTTTAGTTCAGTACATTTTATTTTAAATTTCTCTTATTATGTAGATTGTTGACTGACAGTAGTGGTGTGAAGCTCAGACAGAAATGGGGCCACTAAACGTACCTAAGGATATCTACTTGCATATTCACTTAGAAAACCAGATAGTAGCATCTTCTATGCCCTGTTATATTTTCATTTTGTGAAATATTTCCTATTTAATATGGTTTAGGACACAGTCCTGAGTGTTGCCAAGGTGTGTTTGACACTTCTCATTTAGAGGATTATTTTTTCCTATGGTTGCTGATAGTTTGTGTTTCTTCTTTTGAGAACTTGCTGTTCATATCTTTGACCATTCCAATAGTAGAGAATGGTTCTTGGTCTTATATATATTTTTATCAATTCACTGTATATCTTGTATCTATCAGATCTTTATTGGAGAAATTTGCTGCAAAGATTTTTCCTGTTTACTCTTTCCCTTTAAATTCTAATTGCACCAATTTTTTTATGTGGAAAAGCTTTATGGCTTTATGTAATCCATTATTAGCCTCTCTATCCTTTATAGACTGTCAAGAATTTGCCTCTTATGCATAGTTCTAAATAGTATCTCCTCTTCAATTCTAATTTGTTTATAATATGACTTTTTATCTTTAGATCATATATTGATTTACAGCTGAATATGCAAGGTGTTGACCCAAACCTAATTTCTGCCAGGCTGCTTTCCCTTTTTCCCAGCATTTTTGTGCTTAGCCCCAGTAGTTGAAATGCTTGGTTTTATCAACTACTAGCTAACTATGATCAATTACTCATCAGTCTTGTGTAACTTATCTATTCTACTCGTTACGTTTTCTAGTTTTAAAGATTTTCAAATCTTTTAAAAATCTGTTTGGTTTTTCTTTAATTGCTTTTTAGTAGGTGGAGATATGTACATCCAGGTTCCTTTCCTTAACACTTTATCGTTTCTCTTGATGTTCCTTTCTGCTTCTTCCTACAAATGACATTTGTCCTGTTTTTTTTTCCTAGTTCTATTAAGTAACCTTTAGTACATTGATATGGCATTGAATCTCTAAATTAACAGTCGTTTTTATTATTTTAGCACAGCCCAATTAGACAATTAAAATATCCCCAATTATTTAAGTTTGTCATTGTTTCTGTAGAGTGTTTTCCAGTTGCATTTGTATTGACTTTTCCTTTATCCAGATCATTGGTCATTGATAAAAATGTTAGTCAGTGTTAATCAGTTAATAAGCAAGCACAGATTATCTGGGACAATCCATAAGAGATACTATTACTTTTCATGAAATCGTTATTGACTTTTTTTTTCTCTTGCCATTTAGCCAGCTCCAAATCTACCTAATTGTCCAGCCTACATTTCTCCATCATTTCCATAAGAGTACTATAATGGATCTTATCAACTTCTTTAATAAAATATTATATGCTCTAACTGCAGCATTCTCTTGACCTACTATAAGGTTAGTAGCCATATGGGGGCAGCTAGGTGGTGCAGTGGATAGATCACTGGCCCTGAAGTCAGGAGGACCTGAGTTCAAAACCGGCCTCAGACCAAACACTTGACACTTACTAGCTGTGTGACCCCGGGCAAGTCACTTAACCCCAACTGCCTAAGCCAAAAAAAAAAAAGATAAGTAGCCATATCATCAAAAAGGAAGGGAAAAAAAGCTATTTGGTCAAAGTCTGGGTCTGAAAGGGTGTGTATTGATCGGAGTCACAGGAGAAGTAAAAAGTAGTTCAGGGGAATAGGTCCTAGATCTGGAATGGGCCTTAGATCTAATGAGGTGCTGTCACTTTATAGACAGAGACCATGAGACCCAGAAAGGTTCAATGATTTATTCAAGATAACATGGAAGGTATTAAATGGGAGAACTGGGATTAAAATCTAGGTAATCTCACTGCAAATCTAATTTTCTTTCCATTATGCTAAACTGATTCTTTGTGTGAAGTTGTGATCTTTAGCCTACATTTTTTGCACAGAATATATCTTATGCTGAATAAGTTAAAAAGTAACACCTCATATTTTCCACAAATTTGTTAAAGAAAATAACAGGACAGTTATAGGATTTCTTTATATGTTACATGGAAAAATATATTTACTCTCAAATTAATTGTATACTTTTATGTTTTTTCTTTAGGAGCTCACAGAGAATGTTACTTCCTGGGTGTATGAAAAAGATGTGGAAAATTTTATTGTTTATAGACAAGAACTCTCAAATTTAGCCAGTCAAGGTAGGTAATAACTCTAGTTTTGTAAATTATTCCATAAAATTTTTAGACCTATCACAGTTTCATTTGGCATAATTAATTGGAACATTCACCGCATTGGCCATACCTTTATGGTTTCACATTCACGAGCACATCCTCATTCTCTAACACCCCTTGACAGAAAGTAATTTCCAAATAACTGACATGTCAATAAACATAAATTATAAGTAAGTGAAAGTAAAAAATTAAAAGTGAATAAAGTAACTTCCCTTTGAAAATTTCTATCTTTATTTTCCTCCAGTTTGCACTTACCCATCCTAAGCTCCTAGCTTCTTTCAGTATGACTGATTCAAATTTTAGCTTCAAGTCCAACAAAAAAGGTGTCCTAAGATCTCTGGGTTCATGGATAAGTCAAATATGGAGTAGAATCTTTCCCCCTTTTCTTTTTTAAAGATAAAAATATTTTTGAATATAACCATTTTAACTTTTTGATTGATGGTATTATAGCTTGATATTTTTGCCTCATTACATTTTTTGCTATTATTATCATCATCAAAAACTCTAACTAAAAATTTAATTTTATAGGTCTCATTCATTTCTGCCCCTTATCCCCACATGGTTATTTTGGGTTGTTACTTGATGCTATTTTCACAAACGTTTCTAATTAGTTTTGTTAATCTCTTTTGTCTTTGTGACTTACTAGAACTTTCAGATAAAGAACATCTCAAATTATTTTGGATTTAACATCATTTCATAGACTTTTTTTCCCATCCTAATTCATAGTGAGATAGGAAGAAGAAAAATATTTCATTGTCCCTTGGGGAATTGACACCTACCCTGACCACACAATTGGTTAATTCAGTTCTGTTCTTGATAATCTCCTTAACCCCATGCATCTGTTCTCTTTCTTCTGAATATGTTTATGCCAACATCAAAAAGAGAGTACATTGTATAAATGAAAATTTGTTTAATATTATCAAGTGGTTTGGAAATCTCTCTGTGTTTTTACTTGACACGTTTAAGCAAACAGCAAATCAGAAAGCATTTATTAAGTTTTAAGCTCTGGGAACACAAATAGAAGCAGAAAGACATTCCTTGCCCTTGAGGAGCTTACATTCTCATAGGGTAACACAGCACATAAAAGAAAGCTAAAAAGTAGGAAAGAAGAGCAAGGAAAGGAGGAAAGAGACCATTCCTACAGGGGCGTCATAGAAAAGGTCTGGAGAGTGCAGCCTGGAAAGCAATGAATGCTAACCTGGGTGTCCTTCTTCAGATGGAAGGTCTAGGAGAAACCAGTCAATCAAAGGGAGAAGTTTAGGGGTGGAGGAAACTTTAGTATGAAAAGTCCAGCGACAGAGTAAACTTACAGCCTGAAGAAATTTCTGTAACATGCATGGTAGAGGAAGTACAAGGACTTTACAGGCCAAGATAGTAGATAATCACTGTATTTCATAAATTCACTTAAATAAGAAAAAAAAACTGGCTTTGGAACCTTGAAACCAAAAGATAAGAAGTCAGACATATCTTTAGGAGACATTATGTGTCATCATTAAAAATATATGCAGTGGTTCCTTTTTTCTCTGAGAAAATGATAACCATCATTTCATTGCATTCATATTACTCTCATTTATTTAAAATGAATCTTTTCTTCTAGTAGCAAATATTGAATGTCAGAAGTAACTATATTCTTGAAAGAAAAAAATCCAAAGCTAGTTTTTTGTTCATATTACAATATGGAATATGGGGACTTGACTACTTTAAACACACTGTCCCTTTCCCATTTTCACTTTAACCACTGCAATCACACTCTCCCCCCCATCTTCTGTCCCTGTCTACTGATCATTCCTTTCCTAAAGCCTTCAAACATGCCCATGTCTGCTTCATCCTTAAAAAGCCTTCGCTAGACCCTACCATCCCCTCAGGCTGTCTTCCTATATTTCTCCTCCTTCTTTTTTCAGCCGAATTTCTAGCAAAATTTTTCTATTCTAGTTTCTTAATTTATTTCTTCTCACTCCTCAACCCTTTGCAGTCTGACTTCTGATTTTTCTGTCAGCTGTAACTGCTCTCACCAAAGCTACCAGCAATCTCTTAATTCAGAATCTGAGGGTCTTTTCTTAGGCCTCTTACCTATTTTTTTCTTTCATTTCCTAATGATGAATGCCGTCTTCTCCTGGATGCTCTCTTCTCTCTAGGAGGTTTTCATGGTACTGCTTCCTTCTGGTTCTCCTACCTTTCTTACCTCATTTCTTGACTCATCATCTGTATCATATCCACTTATTTTGGCTGTATTCCAAGTCTCTGTTCTGAACCCTCTGCTCTTTCCATATCTGCTCACTTAATGATTTCATCAACTGTCATTGTTTTAAGTACAACCTTTTTCCTGAACTTCGTTCCTGCATCACCTGTTTATTGGACAATTTGAACTCATCATGTCAAAAGCAGAATTTGTTAACTTCCCTTGCTCTCAAATCTACCCCTCGTCCAAAATTCTCTGTCTTTTAAAAAGACACCACCATTCTTCCAGTAAACCATCCTCAGTATCATCCTTTATTCCTCACTCTCCTTCACCCCGCATATTCAGACAGTTGTTAAATCTTGATATTTCTGTCTCCATAATATCTCTAACATCCATACCTTCAGTCACTCCTTGCCCACACTATTGGAATTGCACTTGATTGGTCTCCATGCCTCAAGTCTCTTTCTACTCAAATTTGTCATCCACACAGCTCCCAAAAATACAGATCTGACAATGTTTTTCCCATACTCAGTAAATTCCAGAAGCTTTCTTTTGTCTTGAGGATAAAATGTAAACTCCTCTGTTTGGCTTTTTAAACCTTTGATAGCTTAGCCCCAATCTGTCTTTCCAGACTCATGTGTACTTCTCTTCCCACACATTAGAGTCCAACCAAATTGACCTTTGCTCTGTTCCTTATGCATCCTTCTCCCATTTTATACTGCCTGTGCCCTATACTTCTAATGCACACCTTTCTCATCTCTTCTTCTTAAAATCCCTTTTTTACTTCACAATGCAATTCAAGCTTCACTTTCTACATTTAGCCTTTCCTCATTTCCCTTTCTCCACTTGCAGTGTACTTTCTCCATAGTGATATTTAAAAGCCTCTTTGTGTTTATTTTTAATTTATTCCATACACATCATATAATACATATCTTCTATTATCTGCATATCGTGTATATTTTGTTTTATATGAATGTGTGTGTATGTGTGTGTGTGTGTATATGTATATATATATAACCTTTACTTGTATGTTTTATTTCTCCCAGTAGAATATAAACTCTATGAGAGTAGGAATTTTTGGTTGTTGTTTTACCTTTATATCCCCAGTCATATAGTAGATACTTAGTCAGTGTTTTTTGGTTGACTCATAATTTGATTTTTCTTCTCATGCACCTCTCTGATGACATCCTTTATGACACATGTCCTGTGCATTAATTAATTGACAGAATGCTAATCATGCGTCCCTTTAGTTGACTTGTAACTAGTTCATCCAAAGCTTGTAGTCTTTGATTTACTACTATATACAACAACACTTGAAGACTATTGTTGTTATTTTTAAATGTGCCTTTGATTCTGGAAGAAGTATGTAGTCAATAAAAGCATCATAATTTCCGAAAGATTTTCTAGCCTACCTCCTATTTAGTGCTAACCCCTGTTCAATGCCTAGAGTATTACCTACAACTTAGAAAATGATAGGCCAGCTCTGTGGATTGTCCATCCTGCTCTAATCATAGTCTAGGCAGACATTCTTCCTCCATTTTGCTCCTCCAGAGGCTTTTGAATGTTCATGAATGTCATTTAGGAGACTGCAGTTTTATAGGGTTTAATCCAGTCAGAACATCTTCTGTAAATACATGCTTTCAGAAGTAACTATTCCATTTGAACGCAGAGCTCGATAGCTTCCTTGATGGTGTCAGACTTTCAAAGAATCTTATTTGATTTTGACATTTGCATAGGAGACATCTTGTTTTTTAGGAGTACCTTTAAGATAACATTTTTCTCTACTGTATCAATTTTTTTAATAGTCAAGAAGAGTAAGCACATTGCAAACATGCATTTCAATCAGCATTGTGACTAAAAATGTCACATCTGTGATCTGTGAAATGTTGTTTCTGCAAGTCTACCTGTTGCTTTTTTGTAGATATGAGAAAGTATGCAAGTAAGATTTTTTTCCAAACCCTTGGTGTCCTTTCCACTTTCAGGTACCTTAAAACAGTTTCTCAGTGCCCTGCAGCACAGACCTCCTTTGATCTGAATAGAATTGATTTAGTCCACCTGTGCTTCTATCTTTGTTTTCATTATTGCCATTTCCAAATATGTTAGCTTTCCCATAATTGATGGGAGAAAAAAAATTGTTATAGAAGTCTTTGGCGTGCTTTTCCATATTTTGTCTGTTTCCCCAACTCGTAGGTTCATACTACTTCAACATACCTATTGATAACTTCTACAAATTCCCAAACTTCTCAGTTCCTCAATTTACTCACTTACCATGGCCTACTCCTCCATTCCACTTTAACTACGTAAAGAAATGGTGATACCCTTGCTCTTGTCCTTGCCCTGAAACGAATTCCAATATGTCTTTATCTGATCATAATCCTTTATCATGCCACCTTTTTTTATACATTAGGACTGCTAACCCTGTTTTTTGACCTCACTGTGACCTTTCATCCCTTCATCTCTTGGTTCTTTCCCAGACCATCACCCCTCTGCTGGTCCCACGGTCCTCCCTTCCCTATCTTGATTCCTTAATTAATCAGTTCAGCTTTGCACTCTATTCTACATTCAAATCTCGTTTCTTTTGTCCTGTTACCAGTCATACTGTGCTAAACTCCAACCCTGTAATTCTCAACCTTCCTCCTACTTTGCTTCCATATATGTGCTGCTGAGCATAGCTAAAGATCATAAAGCTATGTTTTTGTTTTTTGGGGTTTTTTTTGTATTTGACTAGGCAATGGGGTTAAGTGACTTGCCCAGGATCACACAATTAGTAAGTGTCATGTGTCTTAGG